GTCTCTCTCTCTCTCTCTCTCTCTCTCTCTCTCTCTCTCTCTCTCATAACCCCTCCCCTCCCCCCACCTGTTTTCAGCTGATAACCATCTTTCTGTGTGCGGTTTCTTCCTGTAAGCATGTCCGGCATGTCATCTCACATCGTAGATATGATTCTCATCAAATATTGAACGTCAAATAGATTCAGAGGGGTGCAAAGAGGAGGGGCTAATTAAGACAAGGTTGTTCAAGATATCGAGCAAATTGAAAAGCTGGTTTTTGCTAATAATAAATTGTTCAGCTGGGCGAAACACGCCACTTGTTTGCTAGTGTCAAATAGATTCAGGCAGGCACAAATCTAAGAAGATAATTAAAGAGAGTTATTGAAGATATCTCGCAAATTATGAAACATGTCTTGCTAATAATAGATTGGTCAGCTGATTAAACATACAAAATGTGTACAAATAATATGCTGTGCATGCTTGTGAGAAGGGCAGAAAAAGGTACATGTGACGCAACGAATAGTTTTATGTTTGGAGAATATTTTTAGGAGTTTTTTTTTTTGGAGGGGCTGTTTCTTAAAAAAAAATTTTGAGTAGTAAGTAACACTTCCATATGTACAAATAGTGTCAAATTCTTACACTTTTGAAAATGATAAACAAGTGCAGAACTTAGTGTGGAATGATAAGAATTTGACAATAATATTATGGTGCTGTAACATCTTTTGTTAGAATCTTTTTAAAGGCAATCCAACAATCGGAATCGTTTGCGTGATCAGCGGTTGTGTTTGTGTCTTTTGAGTCGACTAAATTTGTAGCCAATAAAATGGCATTTCTGTAATGTAATCTAGTCTTTTATTCATTCATGTATGCTCTTTCACATAAAAAAAAAAATTTCTTCTCACTGTTATCATACTTGTCCTGAGTGCTATCTGTTTATCATGGTACAGATGTGTTTATGTTCTTTTTATTTGTGGTTGTTGGGTGTTTCTGAATGGAATGTTACATTTTTCTTCCATGTTACCTTTGGATGCTGTATTGCTTTTCCCCTTTGTGGAAGGGTCTTTTGTAGTATCAGCAAACTTTTCATTCATCCAGATGAAATGTTTTCCCGTCTGGAATCTTTATTAAGTACATGTATTTTGTTTCTTTGTCATGTAGAACTCAGAACCATGTGGTCAAGATTCCCTTGACTGCCATGTCGCGAATGCCAGAGCTGTTGACCCTTGACCTGAGTAACAACTACATCCTGAGCATTGAGAATGGAAGTTTTCATGTGGGCTCCAAGCTGACTCATCTGTAAGTTGTTGATGTTGTAGTTGTGGTTGGACTAGCCGTCATTAAATATTTGAAGGTTGTTTTTTTCCCTTACCCATTCCCACAAAACTGACGCCATTGAATAAGTCATTGAACCTATCAAAACTTGTATCTATCTTTTTGGTTTTCTTTTTAGCTCTAACGTGGTTTTGTTTGGTAGAGGGCTGTTTGTTCTTTCATTAATTTTCTCATACATTTTGGTATTTTATTAAGTAAAAAAGGTAAATTCAGCTTGATCGTTTTGTGGATTTGTACATTTTTGATACTTTGTATAGCTTCTACAGCTTTCAGACACATCTTTGCTCTTTGTTTTTTCTAGGAATATGAATGGCAATCAGATTGCTGCCCTGGACATAGGCTGTATGAGTAACTTGACCTTCCTGGAGACTCTCAAGATGAACAAGAACAAGGTGATGGAGTTGCCACAGGAAGTCTTTTCTGGCCTGAGCAGTCTGAAAACTCTGTGAGTACGCTGCTGTAACATGCGCTCATATACAGTGAAACTGTCTGGGCCTGACTTGTCTGGTTTTATACTGTGAACTAAAGAACATCTCATGCTGTTCTCAGAATGTAAAAAAACCCAACCAAAACAAAACAAAAACTATTTGAACGGTCTATTTTACTGATTATGATTTTATTGTTCTGAAATGTTCTATGTCGAATATATTATTTTTACCAGAAGTACGATGTGGAGAAAAAAAGTTCTGACAGATTCCTGAAAACTAGATAAAAAATGTAGTAAAAGATGATAAATTGATATTGGTGTGGGTTAGCTGGTTTCTTGACCGCATCAAGTGAGAACTAAGTTGATTTTTTTTTTGACCATGACTTAAAATATGTGTTATGTTTTCAAACTGTACTGTTCTAGTTTCATGCTTTGTAATCAGTTTTCACGTTAATGGACTATTGTTGATGTCAAAAGATGTATGTGGATCTTGTTGCATTGCCCTGGGATTGTGTATCCCTCTTGGCAATTGCTTGAGTTTTGATTCCTATGTAAAACGCTTGTTTTCCCTGTTTTCCCTCAGAGAGCTCATGCGCAACAAGATCAAGGTCATCAAGGGCTTGACGTTTCAAGGTCTCAAAGAGCTCCAAAGTCTGAAGCTAAAGAGAAACTCCATCTCTGTGCTCAAGGACGGGGCTTTCTGGGGGCTGTCAAACATTGTTAATTTGTGAGTATCGTTGGTGTAGTCTCATCTCGGATTAGTTTCACCATATGTCATTGGTAACAGAACAATGATTTATGGTGTAATGTGGGTGGTTGGCGGGTGCTTTGGTGTGGTTTGCTTCTTCTTTCCTATGAAACATCTATCGTCCTTATCTCCCCTTCTTCTTTTTTATGTTTGTTACTCTCTTGTAACACCTCTAATCTTTTGGCGCTCATATGACCTTATGCAGTTTCGAGCGCTGAAAAGCTCTTACTAAAACTAAAACTAATGGTGTAATGATATGGGTCTTTGCTTTTGTACATAAGATGTGGTTTGGAGAGAAGCATATAGAAGATATTCTGTTGGTTATCTTCGGGTTTTCTACTCAAGGATTTACTGTTTAGCTGAAGTTGGCCTTGCAGGCAAGTTGCGAGCATCCTGCCTCTTACTTCTAAAGTGTGTCAGTCCTGGGGCAAAACAAAACATTTGCAATCTTGTACCATCATGGGTGAAGCATGAAACAATAAAGATGTTGCAGGTTTGAGAGAATACCCAATCAATATATTGCTTTTTATCTCCAGGCACATGGATCATAATGACATCACCAACATCACCAAAGGATGGCTTTTTGGATTGAAAACATTGAAACACTTGTAAGTTTTCCTTTTTTTTGTGGTTTTTCTTATTAATTTTGCTTAGTTTTTTTAGTTCTTCAAATGTTTTCAATGACAAACATATACCGATAGTCCAGTTTTCCATATTTCTCGAATGCATGGGAAGCTGGAGGGTGCTTTGTTATTTCTTTTTTCTTGGTTTTATTGATCATACCTGCATCTTGTAGTAATGTAGCTGTCATTATCATTATGCTGATATATTATGTCAACATGATTCTGTCACTTTCATGGAGACTTGCTATATAGGCAACCCCAACAATACAACCCTCTATCCTAACCTGCCTGTAGCCTTGTTTCTGTCACTTTCATGGAGACTTGCCATATAGGCTACCCCAACAATGCAATCCTCTTTCCTAACCTGCCTGTAGCCTTGCTGTGCTTTCTCATAACATGACACATCTTCTATGCAGCTAAATGTACGTCTTGAATTTTATGCAAAGTTTGATACAAAAGCTTTGATAGCAAAATTTATTAGTTGGGGCAGTAAAACCATTACTCGTTTTTTGAAAGCTCTGTTGTGAGTCATGGTTGTTGTTGTCTGTCCTCAGGTCTCTAGGCCATAACAAAATTTCCAAAATTGAAGGGGATGCTTGGGAGCCCTGCAAACATTTGGAAAAATTGTGAGTACAGTTTGACAATAAACTTTTTTTTGCATTAACTCTCCCTGTGCCTTGCGCTTGTAAGTGAGGACTTTTATTTTTTCTGTTATTGACTTGTTTTTATAAAGTGACGCACAGAAGAGTTGAAAGGGGAGTTTTATGGAGTTAATGAATTTACAACAGTATGATGACACGTAAATAGCTTCTGTTGGCCAAGGTTGGTAAAGAGGCCAATAAAGAGAAATGGGAAAATTTATGATGTGTTCCACAATGTTGGTGTTGTTTTTTTGTTTTTTTTTTGGGGGGGGGGTTGGGATACTCTATCAGGGACAACAGGAGCTTATTATTGGCGCCGCCCCCAAACCCTAAAAACTTCACAAAAACAATACTGCAAAAACCAAAGGAAAGAAAGAAAGAACCCCCCCCCCCCCCCCCCCCCCCCCCCAACTTCCATTTCCTTCTTCTTTCCCCCTTTTTTCATACTCGTTGGATAATAGCACAGATCTCTGAGCAATGTTATACAATTGTTTTCTACTAATCGAACTCACTAAATGCGGTGCTGAAATTTCAAGTAGGGTCTGAGCATGCGGTCTTTCCAAAATATTTAATTTGGTCTTTTCTTAGTGCTTTTTCTCTCCGTCCAGTGTCTTTCCTGTGTGCTCAAGTCTTCTGCTTTCTGAATGAGCTTAACTAGCTATTGTAGTAAAACTTTGACTCTGCACACATTATGATAATGGGTGGTTGGAGGGTGCCACTGATAAATCCCACTGCTTTACTTTCCCATCGTTGTCCCTGTCAGTCTATGTGTCTTACTTATAACATTTTTCCCCCAGCATAAGTGGCCATCATTATGGATGTGCTTCTCTTTACTCAAACAAAAATTCGTATTTTTAATTGTTATGTTTCTTCTCAACAGGAAATTGGACTCAAATGAGCTGACGGAAATACCCCAGTTCCCGATACCTCTGAACATCACCGAGCTTAGCATGTAAGTAGGACTCTCTCTCTCTCTCTCTCTCTCTCTCTCTCTCTCTCTCTCTCTCTCTCTCTCTCGTGGTGGGGGATGAGAGCAAGAGAAGAAAAAAATGACATGTACAATAAATGTAGATTAAAAACAAAACAGGAACTGCTAGTGCCGCCACTTAACCACCTGTTAGGCTTATTTATCAATGTGTCCTTTCTGAACTTGACTATCCTCGTAATTTAATCTTATTTCAGGCAGTGGGTTGGTGCTTCCTTGTGAAATCTGAGAATGGTGGTGGGTTTTTTTTTGTTGGTTTATTTGTTTAGTTTTCCTGTTAAAAATAGACAAAATACGACCAGGGTGTGAATGGTTGTTGGGTTTTAGGTCGTTTTTGGGCAGCTTCTTGTCTGTCTGCTTTGCTTGCCAGCCGTTGCATTATGTTTACCCCCTAATACTGTTACCGTTTCTGCAGATCTTGGGTATTCTCCGGTCTGTTGATTTAAGTGGCAATCACATTTACATCAGTTCAAAAGGGGAGACTTGTGCGACAAAGCGGAAAAATCCACACAAAACTAATTCCCTGTCTTAATTAACATTGAAATAAGCTTTGGTTGTCCCTCATCCCTCAGGATTTTGTGCGACCAGGAGAAACTTGCTAAAGGAAGATTGATGAACGTCTCAATTTCAAAAGATTTTGATTCGTTTCTGCATGGCACTTGTATCTTTTCAAATGCAAATTCAATGGACGGTTGTTTATTAGATTCTTATTTTCTCGAACATTTATTTTTCTTGTACGCTGTAGCAGTTTCAGTGGCAGGCTAGCACACATTTCGCTTGCATAGACATGGACCTGCAAACCAACATTCCGACACACTCACACGCACGCGCGCACACACACACACACACACACACACACACACACACACACACACACACACACACACACACACACACACACAACTTTTGTACTATCGCACTTACACACACGCTCACGTACACACACTAGGACCTCCCACCCCACTTCCCCCTCTCTCTCTCACACACACGCTCACACACACGCTCGCACACACATACATACACACACACATATACGCACACACAAACAAGCAGGTATGCACCCCCCTTCCTCTACCACACACTCACACGCTTTCAGATACACGCTGCGCGCACACACAAAGAGAAATGAACCTGAAAAGTCTGCATTCCAGTAGATACATGTTTCAGTATTAATTTTTGAACAATTGTTTGTCTTGCTTTGTTTAGAGACGCGCAAGAAAAGAGTCGGGTGCATTAGAGGCTTATTTCTCGCTGTATTATTTTGTCAGCTGTTGAGACCACTCGCGTCTGGTTGTTTATAATTACAGAAGGGAAAAGGTTTGCTCATCCACAGACACACACTGACACCCGCACACATTCCCGTACTCTCTGACGCGCGTGCACACACACACACACACACACACACACACACAGAGAGAGAGAGAGAGAGAGAGAGAGACAGACAGAGAGAGAGACAGACAGAGAGAGAGAGAGAGACAGAGAGAGAGAGAGACAGAGAGAGACTCAAACGAACTCCAGGAAACGCCGAAGAATCTGACAGACACAAAAGAGTGTTTAAAAATACATTTAACAACATTTAGGCTCGTTAATTTAGCGAAGCAGATTGTCACTACAATGTATTGTCACCCTGGCATCAGGATTTGTCGAAAGAGCGCAGGTGAAATGAGATCGTATTGAATGTGTGCTTGAAGAGCTTAGTACTCGCTCTGTCTTCTCCTGTCGTGTCTTTAGACCACTTTTTCAATAGGTGCCATGGACGTCTTATCTCGAATTGCCATCTTATCTGCAGCCCATAGTTCAGTTCACAGATTCATCAAACGGGACATTGATTTTTAAGTCTTGATTAATTAATTAATTTATTCATTCATTTATTCAGGGTTTTTTTTTTAATTAAGGGGGGTAGGAGGTTGTTCTTATCATTTTGAAATTATTTTCTCACGTGGATGTAATGGTGCTGTTTGTCTTAATTAAGATTTTTTTTAAAAAAAATCACTTCAACATTCAGATAATTTTTCAAGTTTTTATCTTCTCGCTTTCCCACTTTCTTGTTCTTTATTTGCTCTTTAAAAAAGTGCCAAACTGTCAGTCCTGAAAGAGGCGGGAAACACATTGTTGTACGTAAAGCAAAATCAAACAGACGGTGGAGTTCTCTTCATTTGAAACCGCCTACTTTTCCAGCTTGGTGTATACATGAAGTAATAAAAATCTGGGAGGTTTGAGTGACTCGATCTTTACTAATTTGCTGCCTTTGTATATTTATTTGATTGGTAAGTTACTGTTAATCGTGAGTTTAAAAAAAAATAGTTGTGTTTCTTGTTGAATTGTCTTTTCTTTTCTTCTTTGGTGCACCTCCTTTGTGGCGCATTTAGAATGTTCAAAACGATTGTCCTTCTAGGTTCTGGCGGTAACTGGCTGAAGGGCAGTTTGCTCTGTCTGTCTGTCTGTCTGTCTGTCTGTCTGTCTGTCTGTCTGTCTGTCTGTCTGTCTGTCTGT